AGTCCCCAGCCTATACTGGTCCATGGGGTTGCTCTTCCCTAAATGCAGGACTCTACATTTGCCCTTGTTGTATTTCATTAATTTTTTCCCCCCCAACTCTCCAGCCTGTCCATACACATTTTACTAAGCATGAAGTCAAAGATCTGGAAGTTTCAGGCATCCCCCTATTAGGCTCAAAGGCGACACGTCAGCTGCAAGGAGCCTCTAGTCATTGATATGTTGGACATGGGATGTAGGAGCTACGGGCATTTACCTTGAGCTTCTGACAGGCCAGCGCTGCTGCTTTGTTTTCTGCCTCCACCTTGCGACGGCCCTTGGCAGCAAAAGTCATGGGACAGGGCCAGCGGAGCGTGAGCTTGCAGATCTTGGTCTTGGTGCCCACCGTACGGAACTGCATGTACTCCTGAAAGACAGAAACAACACCGGATTTGGGGAGACGATAAAAGCCTAAGTGAACAGGTAGGCATCTTCAAACACACTCTGATATTTCTAAGTAGCTCTTAAATCGGTTTTTGGGTTGATTTTTGGTTTGGTTTTCTGCTTTTCAGCAGTGTATTTAGAACAGGTTCACTGCACTGAATTCCACTCCCCCAGTTCACAAGGCACTGGCTAAGCAGAAGTGAGAGAAGAGAGTTGAGAGGGGAAAAACCTCACCAAGAGCCTCAAGTAACAACATTCCCCATCCTTCTATGAAGACATTTCCTCAATTCTCACTACAAAGTCTTTTCTGTGCTCTTCAGGTTGGTTTTTATAGCCCTAGTTTTAACTCCTCAGTTCTCAGTTGCCCAAAAAAAGCATCCACAGTGATTCCAGAGCCTTTGAGCTTCATCACTGGCAGGGGTCGATCAGCTCCTTACCTTGACTGTGGAGGAAGAGGTTGCGATCTGAATCACTTGGGCCAGAAGGTTTTTGGGAAGCGGGAACTGCGTCAGGGCACGGATGGCAGTGTTGTCGTCTGTCATTTCAATGGAACCCCCCCCTCGGCTGGATGGAAAATAAAAACAGTTTGATACCCAAATATCCACTCTGTGCTCAGACTCATCTCACTTCAGGTCTGAAACTGAGTCGTTAGAGACACAGATAATTTTGGTTGTCTGAAAAGTCAAGTTGTATCTTGCTACCAAAATCCGTCAGCCACAGAAAAATCACCCAGTCCAGTTAAGCCACTTATTAAAAAGCAATCAGACCTTTATGCCAGCACTGCAAACCAGACAGCATCAACAGATGTTAACAGATTTAATAAATAACTAACTCTGAATCCAAAGAGTATCACTAAAAAAAACCCCAAACCACCACAACCAGGGCAAGGGAGCTGGGGAGGGGTGTGGAGCAGCCGAATGCTGGGGAGCAATGAGGGAGCTGAAGGGTTCAAGTGGAGCAGAGGAGGTGAGGGGAGCCCTTATCCCCTCTTTGGCTCCTGAAAGGAGGGGGTAGCCAGGGGGGGTCGGGCTCTGCTCCCCAGGAACAAGCGATGGGAGCAGAGGAAATGGCCTCAAGTTGTGCCAGGGGAGGGTGAGGTTGGATCTGGGGGAAATGTCTTTATTGCAAGGGTTGTGAGGGTCTGGCAGGGGCTGCCCAAGGCAGTGGTGGAGTCCCCATCCCCGGAGGGGGTTTAAAAGCCAGGGAGATGACGTGCTGAGAGCCATGGGTTAGTGGTGCAGCTGGCAGTGGCAGGTTAATGGTTGGACTCAATGATCTTAGAGGTCTTTCCCAACCCAAGCACTTTATGATCCTCCCAAACTCCTGAGGAGATGCCTGTGAGTTCCCTTCCCAGGTACAAGACCAGGCTGCCCCACTACTGCTCGCACAGAGAACAGCACAGTGGTCAGTGTTTGGCCCTTCTCCAGACCACACCAGCAATGAGGGAGCTGCAGCTCAATTCTGAGGGTGCAGACAAAAACAGGGGTGCAGCAGCTACAAAGAAAAACCTCTCTTCTTTACTGCCCTGGATCAGCAGCCATCGGGGCAGACGTACCTCGCATCTCTGCCCGGGGTTCGAGCGTCCTGATGTGCCATGGGTAGATAATCAGAAACGTCGATTGCTTCTTCTTCCAGCTCTCCTTCCTCCAGTTCCCCTTCCTCCAGCTCCCCTTCCTCCAGCTCTTCCCTCCTCATTGCTTTCGGCATCCTGCCCTGCTCCATGGGCTGGATGGAGTCGTCCGGCTCCATCCGTCGCCAGCAGGTGGATAAATCGGCGAGAGAAGGTCCGGACTTGGAGCGCCACTTCCCCTCCGAGCACCACCTCTCGTCGGGACAGCCGAGCTGGTCAGCGAGAAGCCGGTATTTGGCAGCATCAAAAAGCTCATTTCTGGGCCCCAGCAAACCCCAGCCCTTCAAAAGAAAAACGTGGTGTTAGCTGCAGCGAAGACAGACACGGGTAACTCCACAGGAAACCAAACGCATCTGGGAAAGGAGAGAAATGCAGAAGCAATTTCTTCATAGCCCACAGAAAAAAAAAAAGAAAGAAAGAAAAGAGACTTTCAGAAACACAAAGCTTTCCTCCTGCCATGATTTCTTAAGAAAGGGAATCTGTTCGCTAAGCTCGGTTACCAGAACACAATTGCTTAGCATCACGCAGCGTGTTAGAAAGGCTGGCCCAAGATTTATTGGCATTTTACAAACTATTAACTATATTTGGCATCCTGAAGCTTTGAAAAGCACCTCAGAGCGTGAAATGCACCCTTTTGGAAAGGTGAGCCTAAGCATAACGTGGGATAAGAGAAGATGAGAATTCAGGGGATGGTTCATCTCTTTTCTTTTCACAGGAAATAATACCAATAAATGAGAGTTCCTAATCACCACCTGCATTCAGGACTGAACAAGATGCTCCAGACACATCCAGAGTGCAACACACGCCACGGCTTACCAGACCACTGCAATAAATTAAATATTCCATCTTTAGGCCTCTCAATGAACCCAAATTAGACAAAGCTGTACTATTCTGTGCTGCAGGAGTCCCTAAGACAGCAAGAATTCCCTTTGCTTGCTGCTGTACTCAAAGTCCCCATATTCAAACACTCTCTGCACCACTTCTACTCTTCTTGAAGCGATTATTATTTATTTAAAGCTGCATTTGTAGCTATTTCTATAGCTATGATTGCACAAGGACTCCCATCATGTGGGATTTCTGGTGGGTTACAGGTTTAGCTGGCAAAGCACCAAAGTTTTCCTTGCTGAATCTACAATTTGAGGGGGTTTGGAGGTTTTTAGTTACTGAAAATACAGTTTATTCATTTCACGAAGTTTGGAGAAAAATGGAAGCGTAGGTAGGAATTTTTCTCTTCCTTTTAAAACTCCCAGGCTCTCAATGAAAGCAGGAAAAAAGTTTTTGTTCCATATTGACTGGTGAGGATAAAAGTAGTGGATGTTTACAGTGAATGGTAACTGAATGAGCACCAACCATGCTTCAGGTGGAATTAATTCAGTCGGTGAAACAACTTTTTGCTAGTCACACAATGAAAGTGGCCAGCAAGAGGATCA